TCTCTCTCTCTCTCTCTCTCTCTCTCTCATCATCTTAGTCTTCTCCGGAGTAGAGAGACGTGTGTTAGCCAATCGCATGTTAAAGAAAGTAGAAAGTCAAGCACCCAGCCCAGCCCAGCCCGGCGGTCCCTCCAGAGGCTTCTCTGTAGGATGGCTCGTAGTTGGGAAACGCTGCCGCTCTCCCGCCGCTCTTAGAGCTGCCAGCTCTGATACTCTTCCTAATTCTCAATTCTGTCTTTCCTTGGTTTCACGACTGAGAGTAAACTACTAGCTATGATAACAGGTTCCCCCACGCGCACACCCTAGGCACTCTTTGTTCTTTAAGTTTTGGTTTCATGTACTGTCTTAAAAAACTTTTCACATCAAAGCTGGTTTTACAGATAAGGAAACTGAGGCAGCAGGACATACAGCAGTTGGAAGAACTCATCTCCAAAATCAGAGGGTCTTGATTTCTGGCCTCAGGCCCTTATCACCACACTATTAATAACGAAATTGTCCTTTAAACTGACATTTCCATGCACAGAGGCACATAAACGTTCTTAGCCCAGTTCTGGCCAGATGCAGTAAAACCCACACCAAATGTCTGTGGCGCTGCCTGTTCTCTCTGTGGGCCATTGGCGTTTACTGAGAAGACGGCTCGGGGGTCATGTTGGGTCTCCAAATCTCAGTTTCCTCCGTGATGGTGAATAACACACTCCTTTTAGAGTTTTGTCTGGATTGCAGTAGAATGCAGTACTAAAGTGACAGGCATGCTGACTAACCCTTTCTGGGGGCTCAATCCCTTTCTATCCCAAATTCATCCTGAATGCAGACTATTCACCCCACTCAGTCACCTCTCAGCCCACTGTGGTTTGGATTTTGCCCTTAGCCACCCTGGGAACTGTTCTGCTGATAATAACACAGACTTCCAGAGTCCCTGGGAGGATTAAGTAAGATCAGGGGTTTGATCTTTGCCTGGCACAAAGAACATAATAGCTTTTGTGATTAATAATGAAGACCTAATTGCAACATTCAACAGGCACTGGAAACTCTCCTGTTTGATTTTTATCCCTGTGAAGCTTCAGTTGTTTTTTCCATTCCTTTCCGTTCTCAGTTCTGTGAGTTGCCTCCTTCTAGGCCTGCCCCAAAGTCTTTGTATCTTTATCCTCTGCCCTGGGAGAATGCTGAATGGGGAAGAAAATTCTTCTCCACCCCTGCTGCGCTGGTGCTCACCTTTAAATATAGAGATCTGGGTCCCCCCAGCTCCAGCCCTCATCACTAAACATTCATCCTTTTTACCTTTGAGACCATCCCTGAGACTTCCCTTTAGCTCCAGAGGATAGTTCTTTGGCAACATTTACCATTCTGTACTCGACATAATTCTTCACCTGTTCTGTGCCTACCCTCAGCCCTTCCTCGTTGAATGTACCGTTCCTTCTCTGTCCTCAATATTCAAAACTTTGAGCCATGAGTATGAAATAATAGAGTCTGTCTCACAAAGTTGTTATAAAGAGCAACTGGATAGTCCATGTCCAGAGACTAGCAGAGTGCCTAGCGCGTAACAATGCTAAAGAAGAATCAATTACCAGCTCAGAGAATTACCTGGTTTTGTCTAAAGCAGAGGTCAAGCTATGTACATCTTTATAGTTCAGCCTTTATATTCAGATTAAGCAAAATATCAGGGCGATGTTAAGCAGGTGAAATAATCCTTAGCAGAGACCTTCAGCTGTAATTGCAGGACTAAAAAAAAGAATCTGGATGTGGAGGCAGCAAACTTGAGGACGCTTATTGGAGCCAAATCTTGGACTTCAGACGGCTCATTTGCAATTAATATACACCCGGGAAGAGTGAGCAATGGATGAAATGGATGAAGTCAACAGTGGTAGCACGTCCACCAATGACAAACAAATGGCACCCCTGCCAGACTCTCTGAGTGACCTTGTAGGGAATTGAATCGAAAGCAAATTGAATTGGAACGAAATAGTTCCCCTTTTGAGAATGCTGGAGATGCCCTTTGTGATACTTGAGGACAGTGTTTCTTTTATCAAAGGCTACAGAATCCCACATGAGGATGGATTAAATAGTTTCAGAATGCTGATGACTTTACTTCCCCCCTCCTGCTCCCAAATAAATCACAGGCTTCCCGATTCTGTCTGAGCAGCTGGGCTTCTTGATCTATGGGGCCTTCCCAGCTTTTCAGAAGGAGGAACAGAGCTACATAGACTGATTGAACACATGCCTTGTATCTCTCTTGTGTCAAATTAATTAAGAGTTTTCTTCCTTTCTAAATAATAGGATTTTCCTATTTTGTGTTAGAAAGCATTACTATTAACAACCAACTACTGAATCAGAGGTCACTTATTATTACTACTATCATGTAGACTACTTTCCTGAACAGGAGGAGAGTTAAAGAAAGACATTTGGGGCTTGGCACCTGTGGCTCAAATGGCTAAGGCGCCAGCCACATACACCTAGGGTGGCGGGTTCGAATCCAGCCCGGGCCCGCCAAACAACAATGATGGCTGCAACCAAAAAATAGCTGGGCGTTGTGGCGGGCGCTTGTGGTCCCAGCTACTTGGGAGGCAGAGGCAGGAGACTCGCTTGAGCCCAGGAGTTGGAGGTTGCTGTGAGCTGTGATACCACAGTACTCTACCCAGAGGGACAGCTTGAGGCTCTGTCTCAAAAAGAAAAAAAGAAAGACATTTTGATAGTTGAAAACCGCAAACAAAAATTGGGAATTTTTGTGGATTCTGTTGAGTTCTACTTTTGACTACAAAATCCTATGTGTATATATCTGTATGTGCATGTACTACACATGTCCTTATTGGCATTCTCAAGGCTGATATATATTTGTTTTCTAGAAGTTTTTCATCAACATTTGTTATTGAATATGTATGTAAAGCTGTCTTAGAAGTTGTGGGATTCTGTTTGTTTCATATATATATATATATATATATTTCAAAATATTAAGGGGGAACTAATGTTTTGTCACGCGGGTGGCTTTCAGAACGCTCAGGTCAGGGCTGTCACCCAAACAGGGTTCATGGTACCTGTTAGGCAGATTTTCATCTTCCTGTCCTTTTGATTACTCCCTTCCTTGTTTCATTCCCTCAATAAGTATTTGGTGTTCCTACCACTTAATTTCATGTTTAGAATATACAAAGATAAAATAAAATGGTCCTGATATCTGAAAACTTAGGCTAGTGGGAAGATAGGGATATTATTGTTGTTATCATCTATTATGTGGGAAGAAGATTTTGTCTGGCTGAGTAAGGCAGGGAAGAGACGACAGTTGCAGTGAGATTTAAACATTACGTGGATGCTTTAACAGAAGTAGTTCAGACAGGACTTTCCAGGCAAACGCAGACTACCCCTCCACAGAGCTCACTTGTGCTGTGTGCTTTTCTTTAGTTGTCAGGAACTCCACAACTATTTCTAACTTTAACTTCTGTACAGTATTTCAGCCCTCCGTTTTCTGATAAACTGTGGATATCATGCTGGCATCGTACATTTGGTACATCTAAAACAAAACCCAGCATCCACCCCTACTCATAGACTTGGTTTCCAAACTTATATGAATAGCACCCTTATCCTTTTAGCCATCCAGGTCCCAATCTTAGACTAACGGTCACCTGCTCCTTCTCTCCGGCCACCACACCGAGTTCATTTCTAAGCCACACAGAGGCTGGCTGTTTTGTTTTGTTTTGTTTTTTACTGTTACCTTTATGGTGCAATCTCTTTCATTTGGTTATCCATTTATTTTAATCTAGATTTAATGTTTAGTCTCTATAGGAGCTTCTCGTTCTCCGCACCGAGTGAGTTTGATTTCTGTTGCTGCGTAATGAATCACCACAAAGGGAGAGGCTTAAAACAACACCCATCACTATCTCACAGTTCTGTGGGCCAGAAG